ATCAGTCGCGACCATGAGGGACGTAAGTCACTCTCCCACTAAATTTGACGACGCCCTCATTGTCGTGTACCGTCGAAGCTTAGACCTTATTTGCCATAAGTTTATCTCATTTTCCCACTTTATGCCATTACATTCCCGTGTCATGCCAAGCCTCAAATCATGACCTTGTGGTCCGTGAAACGCTGTTCTCTTTGCATATCGGCGTTGCGTAGCGCAGGTCGTCGTTTGCACTGTCTTCAAACATGGCAATCCCAGTCTTGCACAGCTTCGTCGGCATTGTTACATATTCCTCGTTGTCGAATGCATCGCCGAACAATACTCGGTAGGCGTATATCTCTTTGCAGTCTTTGTCTTTGAACTCCCTGTACTTTTTGTTCTCCTATTCGGAATGGAAGAAAAAAGAAAGGTAGAACGAATCATGACCCAGGCGGGGTATGGAATTAAAATATGGAAAGAAAGGAACTGAATTTTATAACATACGCTCATTTCGTATTTTCACTCAGAAGGTTATGCATTTATCTGCTAATAGTCTACCAAATCTTATAGTCGAAAGATCAAGATCAAATTGCTACATGTTTGATTACAAGTTCCAATCCGAATTTAGAAAAAAAATGACAATTCCAACAGCTTTGTACCTTAATCTTTCACACCCGCCACTCGTCGAGGGCGAATAGGCGTCCTCGTACGAAGTCGTATGTGATGCCGGTGCAGTCTATCAACTCCTAGAGACGTTTATGCTTGAGTCGAAGATAATCCCAGTGATTCTTCCACTGCTGCCTACTCCAATCGTGCCTGGAGTTGGCGTTGAACAATTGGACAAGTGTATGCCAGCCATGTTTCGTGAAGTACTTTCCATTACAGTGACCGTCGACTATGACGGTCTCACAGGCGGTATTGAAGACTCGGTTATCTTCTGGCGTCCATTGGGCAATCCTCCTCCTAGGGGCTTAGGGCGAGCTTGGTGGGGGGTTGGAAGTGGAGGCAGTGTGGAAGCCCATCTGCTTCTGAGAAGAAAAATGAAATAGAAATGAGATGGGCAGTTTTCTTACATCTATGCATACAAATTTTAACTCAAAGTAGTATATATAAATTTACAAAACGTAAATGCTCTCTTGTTCGATGATCGAAATGACACAAATGTTCTTCGCTCAATGAATCAAATCAAAACCCGAACCCTTCCAAACAACCGGAAAAGGATCCCTCAGCTCATTCTCCCAATTTCCCTTTTACCACGCAAAATTATATTTGTTTTTTAAAATAAACTAAATTTGGCAAAAATAACTCAGGTCGAGTAACAAAAAGAAACGAAAGGGACAGTCGGAGTCGAAATAACGAAGAAGAGCAGCAAGATTAGAAATAAATATTCACACATATATGTCTGTATGTATTGAAATTCGAAATAATCTATATGAGTTTATTTCTCTCTTGATCTGGATATGCTTTTGACCCGTTTCTGCTTGTGGAATTTTCGAGTCTAGAAACAATAAGGGTGTGTTTGATTACATTTATTTTCTATGAAAAATATCAATTTTCCACTCAAATTTCTACTTGGAGTGTTTGATTGCTATTTTTTTCCATGGAAAACATTTTCCAATTTTTGAAAATATGCCTAATTTTCCTTGTTTTTAAGGAAAATATTTTCCTTGAGTAGAGGTGGTTTTTATTTTCCACAAAAGATGGAAAACATTTTCGTTTCTAGATAATATTTTCCATGTCAATCAAATACACTCTAAATGGAGGTATTTTCCACTAACCGTCTTTAATTAGATTTTCAAAATTTTGCCCAACAAAGTGCCAGTTTATACATATAATATGGATACACGTACATAGAAGGAGAATGAGGAAGAATTTTACAGCAGTAGCGTTTTCTTATAAATTGGTTTCATGGCCATAGAACGTCAAAAAAAAAAAAGAGAGAGAGAGAGATTTTCGACACTAATTGAGATGAAATATGGATCCATGGTGCTCTGGACTTGTATGAATATTTCGGTCACTTTGTCACCGTCGTTGTCGGTGAAAATGGAACAAATCTCGCGGCCGGCCTGGAAATGAATTTGCTCTGTGGGAGTATGGTGTGTTTGGGCGTGAGATATGAAGGGTAAAACTGGAAAGCCGGCCAAAATATGCTGCAGTTGTACTGGTATTTTGTCAAGTGAAATTACAATATTAAATTAGTGAGCACTATTTCAACGGTCCAATAAATGATGGTTGGCGTGCCCAGACAAGGGCCTAAATTGAAGGTGGTGGATAGGAATTTTTGCCAAAGAAAATGAAGTGAACTCTGATACCAACTTAATGTTGGATGCTATGGAATAATCATAGAATAAGGGAAAAAGGAAGAGAATAACAGGAAGAAAGGGGGCATTCTTGAGGCAAAGTAAATTATCAATTTATCATATTAAAGTTGTTTTATTACAAAGCATAAGACCCTTTTATATATGGTTTCAATGATTCTATTGAGTAGGAAATATATAATTAAAACTATTAAATAAAACCATAACTATGCTTTCTAAAATATGTATCAAGAAAACTAAATATAATGATATAATATTCTATCAAATAATATCCTAACATCCCATCAAACTCACGATGGTATTGAGAGTTTGCAAAGAACACAAAACTGCAACATGTATGACTACACGTGAACCGCTGAACCACTAAATATCAATCTTGCCAAGCGTCCATACATTGAACTCATTATTGTAAAACCAACCGAATAATGTAAGTTTTGCCTTCACCCGTTTGAACCATCCTCCCCTTAGGGCTAGAGTCACTTGGCACTCCTTTACACAGGGCTGAGACATGTCATATATTCTATGAGCATAACTTATCATTATAAAACCGAGTTAACAATCTGAAGTTGATGAAGCCACAAATTTAGTAAAAACACAGTCAAAGAACCTAACCAAATGAAAGCAAATTTCAAATCCAAATTTGAGATTAATTGGACCTAATATCAAGTTCAAATTTCAAATAAACTGGACATATAACAAAACGGATTGGACATACCAAATCCCAAATTCTATATAAATTGGATGCTGATACAAAATTTCATATTGCTAATTAACTAAACCAAATTCCAAATCATCACTTGATGCAAAATTAGATAACTCTTGGAACCAAAACCAAACAAATTTTAAATTCCAAAATGCTGGAATATAACTAGCCCATGATAACTTTCAAAACTAACTATAAAATATTTTGAATGTTCAAACAACAGAAGGGGCGGGGGCGGGGTGTCTGAGCCTCACTTTTCTTGGAAAAATTGATTTTGCAATAGAGTTTTTGGGAGAATGTGTTTGAGAAGTAAAAAAAAGTTTTGGATTTCCTTGTAAAATTATTTTATTGAAAGAATGTATGATTGAAAATAAATTTGGAGAAATTGAGTTTTTAAAAGAATGGGTCAAACAGGGGCTAATGTAGCCTCAAATTGACAAAAAGCCTAGCAAGTCATCCATTGGAAGGCCCACAAAATAACATTGTGCAGACATCCAAATAACAATCCGCTTTGTTAATTACTCTACAGGTGACGCAATCTTCAACATGGCTGCTCCAGTAAAATGGAATCGTATTACGGAAAAGTACATAACTAACCTAGTTTCAAGATACACTTTCAAATTTAAGAAACTTGTGAAATTCTTTCAAAATTTGTGACCTTCTGATAAAATTTTATGACCTGTTAATTAATTAAACATGTCAAGATCACAATAATATACTATTTATGGTCACAATCATATACTAGTTATGAATCACGTAAGATCACAATCATAAAGATACAAATTGTGGGTCATAATTACAAATTTAACCGCAAATTGCACATTTTATAGGTCACAACTTATTTATCCATTATAAATTACTCTTCACCTCCCCACCATCGGCACCACTCAAATCGCCACCGACACCTCAAATTTACAAGCCACCACCACCTCTTGTATAAAAAATACACCAAGACGCACACAACCAAAGGTATGTGCACTACCCAAATTGTCGAACGCAGTATCGAACCTCCATCGACTGAAAATCCAACACAAGTTCACCTCAAAAGGGCCCCATCCTTTTCAAATTCATTTGACCCGACTTTTCAGACTAATGATGATTGAATCTAGTAGTTGGTTTTCAATGGCGGTGGCGATGGCAGTGGCGGTGGCAGATCTGTGTGTAAATAGATAGAGTGAATAGAGAAAACTTAGCTATAGATAGTAATAGAGAAAGTGAGTAGAGAAAGAGTAGATATAAAATTTATTAGTAATTTTTTGTATAATAATTATTATCTAATAATTGAAAAAAATATATTAAATATGATTTTTGAATTTAAAACACCTGATTTTTTAAGTTGAAACTTAAAATTTAGGGTTTAGGGTAATTATTCAAATTTCAAAATAGGTTACAAAGAGACTATTAATAAAGTGTAAAACCTAATATGTTACCCTAACAAAGGAAAAGACAAAAATACCCTTTACAAAGAAACTATATATGACATCCTAGCACGACCTTGGACAGAAATATTTTACCTGACCAGCTACTATATATGATGATTACAGGTTATTTAGAACATTTCATTAGGTTATTTTACAAGTCAGTTTACCCAAAATGCCAGTTTGTTTCTTCAATTCTAGTCTAAAAGATTTTTATTTTTTATTTTTTTTTCCCAACTACTCTACTAGTAGTGAATTGCTAGACACTACATCATTTCACCGCAAAAATATGTTGGGCCTTGTGTAGGACGTAATCACTTCATCTAATACTGAAGTGTTGTGACTCAGCAATATATAAGGCTTGTTCGGTAGTGATTATGAGAATTGATTTTTTTACCGTTAGAGAGAAAAGTAGGTCCTACCTGTGAGTTAAGAATAAAAAATGACGACTAAAATAGTGAAATAACGGTCAAAAAATTAATTTTTTGAAATAAGAAATTGCTATCAAACATGCACATAAATGTGACTTTTTAGGAAATGCGTGTATATTGTTATGTCATACACTTTTTGACTCTATATTTACAGGCTGATATTGGTCTTGCCATGGGAATACAAGGAACTGAAGTTGCAAAAGAAAGCTCAGACATCATTATCTTGGATGACAATTTTTCTTCAGTAGTAAAGGTTAGTGTTGGAGAATTTATCTCATCATCTAGTCACAATTTCATTGGCTTCTTTAAGAGTTCAAAAAAGATCTCTTTTTACTTATTGCATCTAACCCTATATGGAACCCAAATTTACTACACAAGAAATAATGTCAAGGTTTATTGCCAGTGACGAATCTAGAATTTTGAATGAGCACGGAAGGATGTTAACCGTTGACCGTTGGCTATAATAAAATATTAAAAATTAAATATAATAATTATTTTGCTAAAAATTGAACATATATAATTTTGTTATACATGTTAAGATTGTTCACCAAATGACATAGTGGCAAGATTTGTATTAAATGAAGGAGCATGGATTTGAATCATATCAATTGCATTAAGGCCACTAAAACAAAATATATATCATTCTGTTACATTCAGTGTCAAAATTCTTCAAGTTGGCGATGGTTAAACTTTCAATAATCTTAAATGAGAGATCACAGGTTCGAATTCCCTCCCTATTACATTAGTTTTGGTAAAAATTGAAGAACTAGAAAAGATGTACAATAAAATTGGTAAGAGGAGATTCAATTCATGGACCTCCAATTTGCAAGTGGGCACTCTAACCAACTGGGCTGGAAGAGACGCTTAGAAGTAAAATGAATGGAAAAAGCCACTTGAACAACCCCTGGACAACCGGGGGGTTGTTCAAGTAGAACAGCCTATATAATAAAACTTTCATCTACTACCGTCAACAAAAAAATTGTTCCCGACTGATTCAGCACACGCGGTCACTGATGCTCGCCCGGTACTGGATCCGCCATTGGTAATCACACATATTAATAAACACATGTATTGATAATTCAGCTTCCTTACCAAGTTATGTATGCGATTTTTTCTTCAGCTTGACACAGTTCATTTACTTTTTTGCGTAGGTTGTCCGCTGGGGGCGTTCCGTATATGCAAATATTCAGAAATTTATCCAGTTTCAGCTCACTGTTAATGTTGCAGCTCTTGTAATAAATGTTGTTGCAGCAGTTTCTTCTGGCGACGTCCCTTTAAACACCGTGCAGGTTTTTTACTATATCTTCATTATATTGTTTGCTGCTTTCATATATAATTATCTGGTGAAAAAATGAACAATATTCCAAAAAACAGGTCGGGTACTATTCATCAGGAAAAAGGTTTGCACTGAAACGCATTAAATGGAGTGATGATTTAAAATAAATTCAAGAATCTTAAAGTTCTAGGACGGACAATAAAAAATATGGAACCTTTTCCTGATGTGTATGTGTATTAAAGTTGGGATTTCGGAGTTCGAATATTGAAGTATCTCTCCACTGATTTGCCTTTTGGTACAGCTTCTTTGGGTTAATCTCATCATGGATACATTGGGAGCTCTGGCATTGGCTACCGAACCACCAACTGACCAACTTATGCATAGACCTCCAGTTGGTCGAAGGTTAGAACTCTTCTATATATTGCATTCTTTTTTGATGTCATCGTGTGAGATACAACCCATGACTAATACATGCATCCAAAGTTTTCATAACGAGATCACCTGCGAATTAACTGTAAGTCTGTATATAATGTTGTTACAGTATTTATTTATGGAGAATTTACAAAAATCACCACAAAAAGAAAATCTGACAGCAGGAGTCAACTCCGGCCTCAAAAGTTTGAATTGTTAAACACAAACACATTTGTATATCAAACAGAGGGATTTCATTCATAACTTCTGCCCTGCTAACTACATTTTCAATTTTAAAGTAGGTTTTTAGTCAACTGGAGTATGCTGTTTCAAATGGGAATGGGAAAATAAATAAATAAATAAATAAAAGGATATGGCATAAAGAACTGCACCCTAAGTTAGAATTTCGTCACATGTTAAAAGCTTGTGTATTGTTTCCAAATGCTTCAGGGAGCCTCTTGTAACAAATATCATGTGGAGGAACTTGCTTATACAGGTCTGTTATGTTATTATTTGTTGAATTTGGGCTTTTTATTTTTGTTATTTAAAGAAATTTGTTTAATATTACTATATAATCTTCTATGCTGCAGGCTATATATCAAGTTACAGTTCTCCTTATTTTTAACTTCTCTGGCAAGATCGTTCTCAACTTGAAGAATGAGCTGCCAGAACATGCTAACATGGTGAAGAATACTGTGATATTTAATGGATTTGTTCTTTGTCAAGTAAGTACATTCTAATTTATATTTGACTAAGCTTAAACAAAGTTACTTTTTATTGACATTATGTCCTCAACATGTTTAGATAACTTATATTTTTTCTTACTGTCAAAATAAATATGTTTTTGTTCCAAATCAACCAATATCTATTTATTTTATAACTTATTCTTTACAAGTAAAAACTTTCAAGCTTAGCAAAATAGTATCCCATAATTCTATGGGAGGCCAGATTTACCAGCAAGTTCATTCTTTTCACTTGCAATTTACAGATATTCAATGAGTTCAATGCTCGGAAACCAGAAGAGATGAATGTCTTTGAAGGGGTGACCAAAAACCACTTCTTCATAGGCATAGTGGGAACTACATTTATACTTCAGGTGAGATGCCATACATTTATAATTTCATGGTTTCGGATTTTTGTTCCAGTAGGTCATCATTAACAAGCTCCTGATCTGTAATAGATAATCATCATTGAGTTCCTTGGAAAGTTCGCCACAACAGTTAAGCTGAGTTTGAATCTATGGCTAGTTTGCCTCGCCATTGGTATTTTCAGGTTCGATATTTTTCTTTAACATTAATAATTATTGTTTGAAAACCTTTATTCGGCTAAGAATATTGGGAGGATTGTGTGAATGAAACAAGGTAGCATAGAACTTGGACGTTTATATAACTAGGAAGCTTTTCTGAAAGAAATAATGGCTATGCAAAGTGTTCCAATCACTAAAACTTCTTGTGCTGAAAACCCCTGCATGTTCTTTCACAAGATGCAGTGATTAGTTATTGAACTTCTTGTAGTTTTCCGGGTAAAACCTGTAGAGTCTCCAATTTTTTTCAAAGTTCTTTTGTGGTTTCCAATTTATCCACCTTTCTTAAAATGGCGTCGGACAAGTGTAAAATGGTTTAGGTATAAGCAAGCTCATTGACTTCTTCCTTTTGTTCTTTTGAAAAATCAGTTGGAAAATTACCTTCAATGGCTTTCGGAACTTTTTGTTGAACCAAAATACCCTTTATTTTTTGTTGTCAGATTGAAAAATCACATTTTCCGTTAAAAATCCTCAAATCAAAATTGTGAATTGTCATTTTCACAAAACACAATCAAAACTACACAAAGTAGTCCTAGAGTCACAGACAATAAACTCCATTCTAAATTATCAGGGTTTCCTAAGACTCGTGGTCTAATGGGTAAGGTCTCGATATTCTAATGAAATTAATAAATAGCGAAAATAACAATGCAACAAAAATAGATATGTCTAACAGATACCAAGTTTCATGGCAATTATAGTATACAGAACAATACTTTGATTTAACAAGAACAAGTACTCAATCAAACAGTTAAGAGCAAGTAATCCTAATTTCTAGCACAAGTAATGTTACCCCTTCACGGTAACCACAACTCTACTATCACCCCACACGATGACGCGCTAATGCTAGAAATTAAATGGGTTATGCTAATTTACCAGAGTGGACCTATTTGATTCCGTAAAGTTGAGAGATGCGAATTTGCTACTTTAGGGCCACCACTATTTGTACTAAAGATTCAGCAAATATACCAATGCCAACCAACCACAAAAGTAGACTGATATCCAGGGACAAAATCGTCCAAGTTTACCTGCGTAACCTGAAACATTAAACAAACCAAATCAATACGTTCAGGAGACTAAAATAAGTATTCTGTCTGAAAAAATCTCGTTTAAAAACTGTCGCAAGCATCGTCGCCATGTCGTCGCCGACCGTCGTCGTCACCATTACGTGCAGCCTCATAGGAGGTGCCTCGGCCTGCTGATTATGGGTCCGGCCTCCGTTTGTCCAACGAAGGTCGCGTTTGGGAGTAATTGAAGGATTTCAAATCCTGTTAGCTGAAGAAACTAGCGCTTTCTCTCAAGTTTTGGCCGAATTTTGGCAAAATCTCCACCATCCAAGCTCCCATACCAGTTGTAGAGTCTCCAATCACCCACCACCGAGGTTCAGTTTCCTAAATCCAAATCAACACCACAAATCCAACGACCCAAGAACACCACTAAACTTCCACCTAGGGTTGCTAGTTGTTATCTCACTTAGAGAACACTACAAAGGAGAAGCAAAACCACTAAGAAAGTCACCACAAAGGCACGGTGAAGTAGGGGTAGGGAGACGGCAGAGAGAAACACGAAGAGAGCTCAAAGGAGAAGACCAAATCTCTTGAGGCCGTTTGTAACACAAGAATATATAGGTTGTCCATTGCCCAAAAAGGTAAGTCCATTAGGTTTAGTTAACGGTCATGAGCCCAATAGAGGTTAATGGTTTATAGAATGGCCCTCTAATAATACTAGCCATCCAAGTAGGTGGATAATCAGCTCATGAGCAACACAATTTAATTGGTTGCTTCAAATGGTCCAATTGACTTCTTGGGTCGAGTAGTTCTAATTTGGATGTTGATACATCGTTCAGTCATATGGTCAAAGCTGACTGATAATTAGAAAACCGGATTTATATCATTGCCCTGTGGTCATTTGACAACAATTTGTCTAAAAAAACCAAATTTATTAAAGATTTTTACGAATGGTAATACTCTAATATACAGACAACATCCATAGAACTTTAGGTCTCAAATGCATGAACCATGAACTTTATACATCTTCATCAGGAAAGAATCAAGAGAAAAAGGAAGAATTGGATTCGATTGATAGGTTTCTTGAAAAAGGAAAGAACTAATGAAACACAAATCATGGACCAACTACTACTCTTATGGGGAACCTTTTAAGGAGGCATATTAACACCATAGAAATAAGATGATCCCAATTTATTCCTTTCCAAAAATAGAATGTTCAATAAAGTTGGAATTTTTTTTCATGAAAATCAGATGCAGTTACTAAATCATCATCTGTCATCAACATCATCAAAAAATTCAATCTTAGTTCTACAAGAATTTTATGAAAGTCTTTCATTTTCTTCAATCTCGTGTTTTACTCAATTTGATGACAATTATCTTAGGATATGTGGTGATTTTCTCTTGTTTCGTGCAGCTGGCCCCTTGCTGCTGTTGGAAAACTGATTCCAGTTCCACAGACACCTCTAGCCAAGGTGTTCATTAAGCCGTACCAGAGATGTGTTGCAGCTCGTCATAATTCTAGTTAATAAATATTATCCAATGTTTCCATACATTAAGAAGCCCATCCAATTGCTTGAAGATCGAAGTAAATGTCGCTACCTTGGCACTTTGAATCTATGAATATATATGATAATATATCAACTTATCAAAATGGGATTAGAACCAAAAATAGGTGATTAATTCATGTACAGCACATGTACATGGAAAAAATTCAGTATATGTGCTATTGCCTTGAACTCGGTTGCTTTCACCCTTTTTTTTTTGGACATACTTTATTGTACTTTAATTCAATAAAAAGAGTGGTAATTAATGGATATCTGTTTCAAATGTGGTCCCTTTTCCCCTTCCTATAAGAGGAAAGGGCCAAATTTTAACAGTATTGAGAGCAGGCATTGATAAACTGCATCATTGTGCTTGAAAAAGAAGGGATGAAAGTTAGGGACACCTATTATGATGTGTTGCAGAAGGAGCTTCTAATTTACTCTCTGCATCAAATGACAATTGGAAACTAGTTTCCTCCAACCCACCTGCTTTACATGTAGTCACGTGTGAGATACTTTCAAACTTGTTTAGTAAGGTCGATTTGAATTATACTAGTTAATTTTAATATATTACAGATGTTATCCAGTAATATGTGCAAAAAATTGCAAATTGATGGGGGCAAAATGCATCAAGAGATGTTGTCTTCTCTCATCTCTATTTTCTATGGTGCCACATGATCAGACATTAAAAAGTTAATAAAAATGAAAGCAGATTCAAGATCAGCATGGAGAAGTAGAAACAATATTATTGTCAGTCAAGCATCCATTTGATTCTCATTCTATTTTTTTCCCCGTATATAGTAAAAATGAAAAGAAAGTTATGTAAGGAGATGTAATCACTTTTCTCAAAAGCTATAGCTAATAGGAGAAACGCAATTAAACTCTATATTATTTAGTGCTAGGTCCGACAATCTACTCCAACTACTATTTATTTAGGGTTAACCCCCTCGCACATCCCATGTTCAGTGATGCTGTACATCATTTTCACCTCCTTCAAGAATCGAACATGAGCTGTCCAGCTCATGTAGAAAGATGTAATCATTTTTCTTAGAAGTCGTAGCTAATAAGATGGACCCAATCAAACATTATATCACCGATGATCAAGCTTGAGAATCCACCCAAACACTATTCAATCGAGGGGCTAAGACCCTTTACGCATTCAACCAACTTCTTTTTCAGTGACGCAGAGCATCACAAAGAATGGAGAAGAATGAGTGCAAGACAAAATTATGCCCCTATTTGGTTTAGTTAAAATTAGATTTTTAGTAGGATTTTAACAAATGTCGATTAAATGTGTGGTTGAAAATTTGACATAAGTTGTGGATCCCGTAAATGTGTGGCTAAACATGTCATCTTTTATGTCACAAAAATGTGTGTTTTCTGATTATCAGTTTCCCTTTTCCTTCAAGCAAATTATTCATAGCGGAGCAATTGACAACTTTGGATGTCAAAACTCGGATGTAAAATATGTTACAAGGAATAGATAGTACAATGATTTTACAATCCATTCCACAAACATTTGACTATTACATCTTACAAGTCTGTTATTGTACGACAAAACCGCGAAGGCAGAATCCTCCAAGAGAGGTCTCTACTTGTTCTTAAATAAAATGCAATACAATTCCAAAACAAATATGTTTGACTACTTATAAATTAACCCTAAACAATTTGATCCAGAAGAAATGACCGTTTTTGAAAGTGCTGTATATCTGTAGAGTGTGCCGACACAGTTCCATGAGAACTAGCAGAAACACGAATAGGCAAAATGATTCTTTTTTGAGACATAATGAGATATGAAATCCCCAGAAGATGCGGAAGAACCAGGAATGCTTGCTGGAACAACTATCTGTGTCTTGCCAGAAGCAATTCTCTTCCCGGCAACATTGGCATAAAACAGTCCGGAAATGGCTGGTACAAAAACATCGCTTTCAGAACAAATGTAGAAGTCGATAACCTTCTCATATTCAGAAGTTTCTGAGCCAAGGAATTTATCCTTTTTATCCATCGGCATTATACTTTCCTGAAATGTAAAAAGCAAAATTAAATATTAAAGCATCTCCAATGGAATTGTGGATTACTTAAAAAATTGCGCCACATAAGCAAAAATAGACTGTATTTCAAAAAATTCCTCTCCAATGCAAACTGACAGGGACTACGTCAAGCTAACATGGCAGAGGAAAAAAAATAAAAAAAGTCTAGAGCTCTGTAGATTCAAAAGCTCTGAATGATGGAGTGGCTTAGCTTCTTTCCAGATTTATAATTCCCATCCCTTAGATGTTTTGTTTTTATTTTAAGGAAAAAAAAAAAAAAAAACGTAGATAGCAATCCATAGAATGCACTGAGACTAATTCTGAACTTGAATGTCTATTTATTAGACATTAGTGCCACGTAGACCAGAAGTCTTTCAACTTTTATACCACCTAGATAACAATACATGGAATCCATTTGAGATGCTCCTAATAATGCTCAACTCTTGTGTTCAAAAAATTCCTTAAGAGATATATTTCAAGGAGAGATAACAGAACAAGATTTCACCTTTGTATAAGTTTTCGGGAAGAACTCCTTTAGATTGTCGAGGCTGCTGTCCCATCTTGTTTCAGTCACGTATACTGTCGTGTCCTTGTCATACCCAATCTTTTTCAAAAATTGCGCGATGTCATGAGGACCATAACAGCTTTTTGATCCACTATTTTTATGGCAACCCTTTTTCTCTAATATATCGAGCCTAAGGTCAACTGCTACGAACTGTCCATTTGATTTCCGACTTAAGGTCCTCAGGCGATTGACCAATGAGTCAACCACTTCACGAACTTCTGTCTGTGGCTCAAGGGTTCCAAACATTGCCAAACATCCAATAGAGTCGGTCTTACTTTTTTCTTTTTTCTTTTTCATGTTTACTGAAGGGAAGTAAGTTGCAAGCCTTATGTTTCCTTTGCTTCTGAAGACGGGTTCAATATTTTCAGCAATGTACTCTTCACTAACCCGATTGGGGACCTTTACAACTGCAAGATTACGTGCTGATAACTTAGCAGGCTGAGATTTAACAACTTTCACTACACCGTCAAGGCTTGTTATGAACTTTTCAACATCATAAACATCTTCAAAGTTCCTGACAGTTACAAAAATACTAAATCAGGGTATTGATTTTCCCCAATATCACTGATGCAAAGGAAGACGATACAATAGGTTGATATGGCAAACTCATAAAACTTATAACACACCTATGTAACAATAGGTTCTCACTTCTCTCAGTGGATTTAGCCTTGTAGAGAGAGAAAATTTTGACTAAATGCTCACAGTTACATGATTATCCAAAAGGGAGGTGCATATGCATTTCAATTTTCACATAGAAAATTTATTATTTTCTATTCGACTAACTCTTTTTAACGATAGATATAGAGAATCATCGATGGGTGTAATACGTTGGAATAATACGTGAGTGAAGGTGATGAGACTAAATTATAAAAAATCCTTGCCATGTACTATAACTAGAGAGATAGTCACATCACTAAAAAATAGGCTACCAAAAAAGTACCTCTTGTCACTGGTTTTGCTTCCCCTAATGTCTGGGAGTACAATAATCGCACGTAGATATCTTGCCACCACCACTGCATCAGAAATCTGAACAAAACAATTACCAGATAAATGGTGCAATGCAAGAGATGAAAAAAATTCAAGCCAGCCTGAATAATATATTTCCCATGCTTGCATCAGAAATCTGAACAAAACAATTACCAGATAAATGGTACAATGCAAGAGATGAAAAAAATTCAAGCCAGCCTGAATAATATATTTCCCATGCTTAATCCCCCTCCCTTCAAAGAAAAAATCGATAAATAGTAATATAAATTCCTGTGCCAAGGATGGATTTGTCAAGAATCAATATTATATACCACCTCACATGTTTAGAGCTGTTACTGTGTTCGGTAAGGAAATCTTTCAATGAATAAGTTCATCAAGAAAGCCTACTAATATATATTTTAAAGCTGTGTATAAATAAAAAGCAGGATGGCAACTCAAATACCTGTGAGATGTGATACTCAGGGCCATTAGTTAACGAGAAGGTGACATACCCTTGTGGTTCATCTGCCTCCTCTGTTAATGAAACACAAAATAAGACTAACATACGAGAAAAATCCAGATACAATAGAACTGATTTCTCAAGAACTTCATTTTACTCACCCAAAACTGGCTTATCCCAACATGGCTTTAGAGCTAAGCCTTCGTCCTTCCAAAGCCCTTCGGCCTGTTTTGTACCACTAGCATGGACATGCTCCGAAGCCTTGGTGGTCTCATGAACAGCTGTCTGTATCAAAAGGAAAGCCAACAAGAAAATGAAAACAAGAAAAAGAAACACATTTAAGTCAACAATGATAGACCATGCCCATTAATATAATTGCAGTTTTTAAATTTCTCCATCCCTCTCCTTCGTTGTGTCGAATTAAATATAACCACTCTTTATCTTTGTTCTGAATTGCGGAGCAAAGGAACAAAATTCGTAAAATTGAGAATGCTAAAAGAATGTAGAAATGTAAAGTTGCTGCTGCAAGCTACCAAAAACAGAAGGCCAGCAATTCAGATCACTACATATATGCATACATCGTCAGATACACAAACTAAAAGACATGATGTCAAAGGACAATAACAGACATGAGGTTCAGAAAAATTAATGCAGTTGTCAGAAGCCAAATCGCACAATAGAAAAGACAGATGAGTAAATGAACATTCACAGATATTCAATTCGAAAAAATCAATATAGATCACGCAAGAGAGCCGAAATCAATTTGAAATCAAAGTCAAATAAAATCAATCCAAGCTTCAAAATCTGTACATCATGAGTTAATCTACATAAAATAAAAGACAATTAAGGGAAATTAATATAGTTCTTTGAAGTAAAAATCGAGCAAGAGAGGCGAAACCAAAGTTGAATCAAAGTCGATGCAAATCAAACCAAGTTTCACAAAGTTGTATATTTTCATGAACTAGTCCACAAATTCAGATTAAATAAACCAATATCAAATCAAACAGTAATTTCAGTACCAATTCTCCCAATCGAGCCCTTATTCGCTCAAGAACAGGCTCGGGAATCCCACCCCGAGCACAATTAAGGGTAAGAATCAATACAGTGAAAGCAAAACAGTAGTACCTGAACAGAATCAAAGTGGTCACGCTTGATCATATTCCCCAGCATAACGAACATTGTAACGGTAAGCACTCCTGCCAACACCTGCCTCGGATCCACACCCATTTCTTCAGATCCAATTCTTACTCCAATCTGGGTCTGTATGAATGTATTTGTAGCAGTAAAATCTGGGTCTGTATGAATGGATCCACCCCCACGTCTCTACTACTCCCTTTTCTCTCTCTAAATGTAATAATAACAATAATGATAACAAACAAATGGCAAATCAAACCATATCCACAGAATGAGACGAGAGAGTGTGTGAGTAGAACAAGGTTCGAGTATAGTGAGAGAAAGTAGAACCCCCAAACCCCAGCTTTATGGATTGGCGCTTATTGTTTAACCATCTTTTTCTTCCTTGTTAGGTTTATCTACCCATTATAATATGCATTATTTTATATTCGCACACAGATGTGTACATTATACATACATACATACATACACGTATAGCTAATAGACACCCATGTGCAATTGTGCAAATAGTATACTGAACTGATGAATACACATTCACTGTAGAGAGAGGAGTGGATGTATATGTAGAGAGAGGTGTATGTATAGGTAAATACGTACTGATTAGCACCGACAATTTCCCGAAAACGATGGAGCGCCTAAATTTCAGTACTTCTTTCACTGTTTTTTCTTCTTAGAATATTTTAAGGATATAAAATGTTCAAAGTCTATAATTTTTGGCGAGTAATTAAATCACAATCTTGTGTAGATAACCATCTGCGTACACATAATATTTTATGTGACGGCCATCGAATTATCTTTTAAGTGACATGTAATCTTAAAGATTAATGACAACTACATTGACATATACATTTAAAAACAATACTATTAAGCACAAGTGATATTAGGCCCCCGTTTGGTCCCCATTTTTTGAAATGAAAATTGGTGGAATAGTTTTACTTTTTAAAAATTAGTGATTGAAAAAGAAAGAAAAATTTTCGATTTACATGTAATATTATTTTATAAAAAATTGTGTTGTTGAAAATAGAAGAGATAAAAATGAAACGAAATTTAATGGGGCTCAAATGGGGGCTAAACGCCAACCTCAGCCTAATCATGTTTTATAGATGAGTCATAAATCCTTATATTTAATTGAACATGGGATTTAATGACGTAAATGATGACACTAGATTAGTGCTAAATAACATTTTAATTTTTTTCAAAAGAGGACGTCACTTCCTTAACTTTATTGATAAACCATCGCTTATGACGAAGAAAAACCATGATTACAAGTAATTGAAGTAATAAAAACTTAAAACAATACAATCAATGAATTCAAAAGGAAGGACAACCACTATAATCTAAAACAAAATAACCTATCATAGTTTTAGTGAATTCTCTAATATATATAGAAAATTAAAAGTGTCCAGATATACCCATCTTAGCCAACGAGTCAACAACTGAATTCGCCTCTCAAAAAACATTGGTGACTTTTAAATCAATGAAGGCTGCCAGATCAACAATGTCATCCCAAACTTGTTGAAGAGACCAAGGAATAATAATACCCAACCCATTAAACCCATGACAACCACCTGAGGAATCAGTTTCAAATGATAGCAATTTTACAAACCCAATTTCAAAGCCATTGCTTCCGCCATGAAATTAGCAACTATCTCAAAATAGAGCGGCCCCTAAATAAATGAAAGGAAGAGAGGTCTCCCGAAAATTAGTAACAGAAGCAATAATCCTCCAACGAAAAAAAGGTTGTTTTTCGATAAGCATTAATGGGCTGACCAAAAACTTTCTCATAAGAATGCAAGAATTCCCTAATGATAATTTATCTCCCATGCTCTCTCTTGTGCCTAATTTAGTTTCTAGTGAGGATTCTACACTTGGCGGTCCCGATGGATTTTCTTCATCCTTATATATTCATACTTGGACTATTATTTTTGATGATTTTATTGTTGCGGTCCGCGAATTTTTTTAGATGCCTTGGGTGTGTCCGTCATCTTGCTTATCCCAAAGAAAGACAAGCCTAACACAATTTTTTTTATTTTATTTTTTTTAAGGCCTATAAGCATATGTCAGGTGCTTTACAAAATTATTGTAAAGATTATGGCCAATCGTTTATCTAAGGTGCTTTCTAAAATTATCTCTTTCAATCGATGAGTTCAATATATATCAAGGAACCGTTCCTCCTATCAATGAGTTTGACAAAATAATCACAATCTTAAGTTTAGGCATACTATCGATCTAGATTTGATTTTAAAAGGATTTGTTAGATCTAAATCATTAAAATAACTTGAGTTAATGATTATGATTAGATGTTAATTTTCTTTAGTAAATGCGTAGGAGGAATAATCTCCATATATGTATTTGTCATATTGTAAGTAAAGAATAACAAAAATTCTATATTTTATGTTATATTTTAATAAATAATTTCTCACAAAATTGTGTCATGGTAGTTGTGGTAGTCCATCACTGCCCATGGTCATTGACCATCTCATCAAATTTTTTCGTGGGTCAATTTTTAAATTTTTATTTATTTTTTATTTTTTGTAATTCTATTTATTTTCAGATTTATTTTATTTTTAAAATCGATTACAAAAATGAAAAAATAGAACTTTGTAAATGTATTCAGAAATTTTTAAGTATAATTATGTAGAATTCTCAATAAAATCACTTAACATTTATCTCATGTTTAACTGCATATTTAACGTTCCCATTGACTATTTTCATCACACTACGTCCAAATGCAAATACTCGAAAAGTTTCATGTCCCAAAACATTAATTTTAAAGGTTGAAAAATATAACGTGTGAAAGGTTTGAGGAGTTCGGCCCCAATTTGCCTTAAATTTAACCCTCGTTTGATCCTATTTTTTGGAAATGAAAATTGGTTAAATAATATTTTTTTGAAAAATGAGTGGTTGAAAAGAAAGGAAAAATTTTCGATTTACGTGTAATATTATTTTATAAAAAATTATATGATTAAAAATAGAAGAAAGAAAAATGAAATGTAATAGAATTTAATTTAACGAAATTCAAACATGGCTTACTTGCAACACAAGAATTTACCCTCCTTGCACTATTAATTAGTTTTTTTTTTTTTTTTTTTTTTTTTTTTTTTTTCTCAGCTGTATACATGTGGATGGATGGAACTTGTAGCATGTGACTTGAATTTTTCAAATCAAATTATAAAGTTTCTAAATATAGCACGTGATACTCACGTGTTGCGTCGAATAATTCTTAAAATCAACTTCCCTTTTAACGACAAATTAATTAGCAAATGAGTTTAATAGCAGAAAATCCCTACATACTTGACAATGTGTGAAATATCCTTCTATCTATTGAAAATAGCAAAATAGGTCCTTGTTTGAAACATCATCCTTTTTTTTGTGCTGAATACAACCTTTTAGAACATCTCCTAGGGACTCTCGATTTTTAAAAAGCAAATTCTATTATTTGAAGAACATCTATAAATTTAGAGAATTAAGTTTCTTGAAGTTTTCCTACGAACTCTTTATATTTAACACTTAATTTTACTACTCTAAAAAAATATTTATTATTTTTTTATATCTTTTATTTTAACTAACTTTTCTCCAGATTATATGAAACGCTTTGAATGCATTAAAATATAGAGAATGGGTTACTCTCTAAATTAAAATATTAATTTAAAGAATTTTTTGAAAAATGATTTTAACGATTGACTCTTTAAAATAGAGAACATCTTATGTTGAAAATTTTTCTTGAAGATGTTCTTAGGTGTGAAAAACCTCCCTATTGTCCAAGTTGTTTAACCGTTAAAAATAGTAAAAATTGCTAAAATAAAAAAGGAATAATTGTAATTGCAATCCCAAACTTTTTAAACGTGACATGGTAATCTCAAAGTTTTAAAACTTTATTTTCTTCACTGCCCCTCCTTAACTGCAGTGCTTTCCCACCTCTGTCGTATCTGTAGCCACCCAACTCCCCTGCTACCTAAATTGGGATTACCTACCTCTCCTCTGTCGCCACACCTCCACCGCTTTGCCGCCTCTCCACTTGAAGTGGGCTTTCTCTCAGTTTCTTAAAAGGATATCAAGATTTGGGCTTCCTCACACTCATGGCGGTCCAAATGTCCATTTCAGCAATCGTTGCCACTAGTACTGCCTAAGGGAGTGGAGGAAGCACAGTGGGAGTGAAGAAGAAGGAGACAACGTGTATATTCACCCCGTTATTCCAGTTCTACACCCAAATCTCTTGGTGTTCTCTTTTTTGATCTGGGATTTGATTTCTCTCAATGAGACCTGAATTCCACATTGACTTGTAGTGTTTTATCTAATGCCTGAAGTTGCTGCAACTAGAGCAACAAATTCTTATTACCCTGGGAATTTTTTGCAATGGAACTTTCTATCTCCTTTAAGTCAAATTTTAGAGATGAAAGGTTCTCTCTTTCGATTTCTGTTGTTCTATGGTTTCCTCAAGTTCTTGAAGAAGAGAAACAAGCTCGATATTTGATTTTGACTTCTTTTCTGTTGCTGGGCTAAATTAGCATTTGATTCTTGTTGATTTTATGCCACGTTCCATATCTTTTTTAATCGAATAAGACTTTCAGGTTTAGTCGTCGAATATTCTGTTAAGAAAATTACAGCAATAGAGAGAATAAAAGAAGAAAATGATGAATATGAAATCCGGCAAACACTTGAACACGAAAGTAAATCGTTATACTCAAACGATATTTGCCTCATCTCACAATGCTTCTAAGGATTAAATTGCCAAATAGTTTGTAGGATTAATCAAGCCTCTAAAGAAGAACACCAAAAGCAAAAGTGATCTTCAAAATGAACAAGTGAAAATTGGCTTTGTACATGAAGAGAAATTGGATTTGCAATAATTTGGAATGAATAATATATTCTCAAATTTGGCTATATGGTTTTCTATATATTTTCATTGATCACCAACCTCCTATATAGCCATCAACTATGTTGTACGAAATGATGCCAAAAATCATTGAAAAGCCACCAAAATTTCAAACAAAAGGGTCACCAACGACTATAATTTTGCGCTATGCGATCATATAGTACAAATTTGACGATCATATAGATCAACTCTTGATAGGGCCTAAAAGGCCTGCAAATATGTATGCGACCACAACCTTGGTTGGTCTATGCAGTCGCATAGGCCAACATCCAACCTCTAATTTATTTATTTTTTCATTCCACACACGATATATATATATATATATATATATATATATATATATTCCACTTGTTTAATATTCAGCAAAACGCATATCCAAAGCATTACTCATGCATAAAGATTAAATATCTTTCAATATGAATATAACCATAGCGTAAATCTCATAAAACATTATTGAAATTCTAGGTAACCAGAAAGTTTTGAATAAGTTATTTCTTGTAACTATACCAATGAAATTACACACACAAGTGTTAAATTCTCACAAGTCCCTCTAAC